TCATCTTACTGCAGCGCAAAATGTTTCACAATTTCACATAAAAAAAACACAATTTGCACATAACTGATCAATATCAAAGAAGGAAAAGACATTTCACGTGACTGTTGAAGGATTAAATGAATCAGTTAAGGCGTAATTTGAGCTGAGTTGTGTAAAAAGTCACTAATTTCATAAAGTTCACCACAGATTGTTCAATGAGACAAGAGAAAACGGAAGGAAGATGCATTTCAGTGGTTCTGATCTCCACGGTCACACAGTTGTTGCAACACAACTGCTGTCAACTTCGACTGGTGAGTTCCGTCATTTTAGAATCTTAATGCAGCCCCTAGAGAAAAAATAATAACCATGTTTTATTTTCTTTTATTTCATTGAACTGGAGGGAGCCATGCAGCTGTCAGAAGCCAAATGGGTTTTTCTGGGCTTCATCTTGTGCATCTCAGGTATTAATTAGATATTTTATCCAAACAGGTGTAATATGCACAACAAATTTATTGTGCACATTTAATTTGCCTTTACCTAAACTTGTGTTTATGTCTGTTAAAGACACTTGGGGAACTAGAAGAAGGGTCTGCGTCTTTCAAGGTTCATCAGTGATTCTGACCTGCTCCAATGCTAAACCTGCAGCCAACGTGATCTGGTACTCCACAACTAAAAACGACTCCACATATCACCTGACAAAGCTGCCCGCAGATGGGAATTATGTCACTCATAAAGCGACTAAAGATTACAGCGCCACTCTGACGATCGTAGAGGTAAGAGAGAGGGACGAACGTGTTTACTGCTGTCTAGAAAAAGATGAAGATGCAAACGTCTGCTGGAACGAGGGAACCGAGCTCCGTGTTGCAGGTACAGATGCAGCTTCCCCCCCACCACCCTTTTTTTTTTTTTTTTAAATATATTTGAGTTTGAATTGTTTCTACTTTGTAAATGTGATCCCAGATGTTCAGGTGAAGGTGTTTCCTGCCTCAGAGGGGCAGAAATTAAATCTGATGTGCACAACCAGCTGCTCTCTGACTGACAGCCCTGCAGCCTTCATCTGGTACCAGAACACAGAGTTCCTCTATGAGGACTGGTCTCCCTGGTACCAAGACCTGGTCAGCAGTGAGGACTCAGTCACATACTCCTGTGCTGTCAAAGGCTACGAGGAGCTCAGAGCTCCTGACGTCTCAGTGGGTGAGTTACATCTCCAAGCCTCCCATCAGATTTTTACATTTTATTCTGTGTATATT